TGAAAAAAGAAACTTTTTTCTCAGCCCATGATTTGAACGAGTCGCACATACACCCTCGTACATGTTCCTCGACGCTGAGGACATCCCCTAAGAGCTGGGGATTTCGTGACATTTCTGATTGGCTGTCTTGCGTTTCTAATAAGTTGTTTAATTGTTGGCATGTTGAATCATATACATAAGAGTTCGGTTTAGATCAATCCTAACCGAATCACTTTTTTTTCTATCTTCTAATATTTTTTATTTAATCCCCTTACTCTCTTATTAAGAAGGAATAAGGGGATTAAATAAAAAAACTAAATCTTCAATTTGGACCTTGTGCTGTTATTTTTTATTAAAGATTAAATTGCTTAAACTGCTATAAGATCAATAATTCCATAATCTTGTGCTTCTGTGGCTGACATAAAAATATCTCGTTCCAGATCCTGGGATATCACCCAGGCGGGTTTGCCCGTTCTTTGTACATAAACTTCTACGATTGCCTCGCGAAATTTTGCCAGTTCATTCACTTCGATAAAAAATTCCTTTGTTTGGTGGGAATCCGGAATAAAAGAAGTACTCGGTTGATGGATCATTACCCTAGCGTGAGGGTATGCCATACGTTTGGTAATTGTTCCTCCGACCAGGAGAAAAGATCCCATTGAAGCGGCCAATCCTATGTCTATTGTATGCACATCGGGTGTCACAAATTGTATAGTATCATAAATACTAATTCCGGGTATTACCCCTCCGCCAGGACAGTTTAGAAAAAAATACTGATCTTTGGTGGGATCTTCTAGAGCAAGAAATACCATAATGCCAATAATGTTATTTGAGATTTCGCTATCAATCTCTTCGCCCAAAAAAAGTAATCTTTGTCGAAGAAAGAGAGGTCTTGCTTAAACAGTTTGAAAACTTGCTGTTACTATAAAAGAAAGTCAAGTGATTCGATGACATCTTGAAGATTCCAACATGAGTTGGTCTCATGGCCATATGCTCGATGATAGAAGCAGAACTTTGACATATTCACTTTGGTTAGATCCTGAAGCCTTTGCTCAGGTAAAGTGATCTTTCCTCCGGCTAAGAGTCTTTCAAGGATGACTTCACAAGGAAGAGGGAAGACTTTGTTTTCTCAAAGAGGCTGACGGGCATTTGCAGCACTGTAGGCGAAGGGAATTGCTTTTGTCAATGAGATTCCCTGCAATTACATCAAGATCTGATCTAGCGCCGTCAAGGAAGAACTTATTGGAAGATAGAAGTAGAGCCCATGACCACTAGAAAACCATGGACTAAGACTGTAGGACAGACGCTCACCGACCGAAACCACAAGCTCCATTTTTTTCGAATTTAATCGATCTGGAACCTCTATAATATATGGAAAACCCTCTAATATATAGATTATATAGATTTAGATTTCATTCGAATTCGAAGCGGATTCTTTTTAGATTCAAGGACTAAGTACTGAATCAAAATAAAAAGCAGAGAATAAGCCCGCTACGTTATAATGGAACTCATGTTTGATAGAAAACTTAGATCACATAAATTCAACGAAGGAGGTAGGGTTGATTAACAAGTCACCGATCAAAAAATGGCAAAAAAGAAAGTATTCATTCCCCTTCTCTCTCTTACATCCATAGTATTTTTGCCTTGGTGGATCTCTCTCCTTTTTAATAAAAGTCTGAAACCCTGGATTACTCATTGGTGGAATACTAGGCAATCCGAAATTCTGTTGAATGATATTCAAGAAAAAAATATTCTACAACAATTCATAGAATTAGAGGAACTCTTCCTGTTGGACGAAATGATAAAAGAATATCCGGAAACACATTTACAAAAACTTCGTATAGGAATCCAAAAGGAAACGATCCAATTGCTAAAGGCGCACAATGCGGGTTGTATCGATACGATTTTGCACTTTTCGACAAATATAATCTGTTTCGTTATTCTAAGTGGTTATTCATTTTTGGGTAGTGAGGAGCTTGGTATTCTTAACTCTTGGGTTAAAGAATTCCTATATAATTTAAGTGACACAATAAAAGCTTTTTCTATTCTTTTTTTAACTGAATTATTTACCGGATACCATTCGACGCATGGTTGGGAACTAATGATTGGCTATATCTACAAAGATTTTGGATTTTCTCATAATGATCAGATTCTATCTGTTCTTGTTTCCACCCTTCCGGTCCTTATAGATACATTTTAAAAATATTGGACCTTTCAGTATTTAAATCGTGTATCTCCATCCCTTGTAATTATTTATCGTTCAATGAAAGAGAGTCGCTGATCAAATTAGAATGTTTCTTGCTTTGTATATAAGCAAAGCAAAAAAA